ATCGTTTATTGTGCGACGAATGCCTTTATATCTGTATCGATTTTTCTGCTAGCTTGCTAATCTTCTTGTTAAGAGAAACCGTCTGTCTAAAAATATGTCAATAAAGTTTGATAATTATTTGATATGTGTTCACTGTGTTTGTCACAGGTATTGTTCAATAGACATTGACCTTGATCAATTGTGTTAGAAATTTAATTAATCCATTAAGTTGGACAGATTTTCACATTAATTAGAACAATCTGTAGAAATACCATTTAAATTTTGTGAGACGCATTAATTTGTTTATACTTAATTCTAGTTCAAGTCACACTTACCTTCCTTGACACAGGTAATATGCAGCGAAGAAGTTTCTTTCCAATTCCTCAATAATACCAAATTGTTACAGATAAATATTTCATACTAGTAATCTCTACGATATGTATATGCTGCAACACTTGATTAGCTACATGATGTACGATACTTTCCCGCAGATATATATCCATGTGTACGCATTTTCGGATAGTGTTCATTTTCGGACAAGTGTATAGACAAAGTGAAATATTCGCGAGAAATATGAATTCGCGTCTTAGAAAACTCGCGAATATTAGCGAAAATAAATTTCTCGCGAATAATAAGTGTTTTACAGTATGCCCCCCTTCGAAGAAGAGGGGGTATAATCAATGTGGCCATACCACGTGACTTTTCGGGTACGGAACACGCCGATTTTTCACCCGATTCAGGTATGTTTTTTATTCATAACTTATTTATTACTCAACCGATTTTGATCAGATAAGGCGCAGAGTACCCGTAATTATATCAGCTTTCCACGGTATATCAAAATTCTGAAAACCCCTGAATGGTTTTTGAGAACATTCGAGTACAGTTTTCTTCTCATAGCCGGGGCCGAGGGGAACGGTACACACTCATTTGTCATAACAAGCGATTTCTAGTAAGTCATATGTTTTTTGTCACTATTTCATAGAAAAAAAACATGTTAAATCTGATATATTTACTATGTCCAATGTATCGAGTGAATGCAGTGATGTTTTAGCATATTTTCATAAAGTTATGTTGAAATGGTACGGAACACACTGTTATTTAAAAAGATACGGTACACACACAATTTCTGTCTTTGAAATAATTCTAAAATAAAATATATGAAAATTTAATTTAAATTATAATATGAGTGATTTTTTTTTCATAGTTATACATTTTATTAATTTAAACAAGAACCCTGGGACCTGTTTTGCAATGTATCATTATGGTTAAATGAATGTTAATATGTATTTGTGCATTATATTTCAGGAGATCATGCTAACATTTACAACCTCCGTGTAATTGTCCTAGTAGTACTTAAAATCACCTAGGGTATGTTAAACACTTCGATCTTCAAAGAATCATGTAGTTGCGTTTAAAATGATTGTTCTATAGAAAGAAATGTTGTTATAATGCTGTGTTTATTGTTGTTTATTGTTGTTGTTGTTTTTATTTTATTTCTTTTAGTTTTCGTGAAGTGTAAGATATGTCTTTTTGCTTCCTCCTGAAAAAATAAAACAATGTCATGACCTAAATCGCTGAAAAATATCATTACTTGATAACATTATATATATTTATATTTTGTTAATAATAAGTAAGTCACTAGGTACAGTTTTGCAGTAGCATGGTCATGTTTAATTAAATCAAAACACAGAAGGCGCTGAATTTGTTTGGGTCTCAGAATGTCAGAAAGGTGTGAGATTACAAACCAATTTGTTTTTGTATAGTGCCACCAATGCTGTTTCCAGTGTTATAACTATAGTAAATTGGCTATAAGGCTTATTGCAACACTGATATTCAATTCAATGTTTATTTGGCTTGAAAAAAAACAACAACAAAAAAACAAAAATAAATAAAAACATGAGTTGCCTTAAATGGGATTTGAGCTCAGGACATCTCTCTTTCTAAACGAGCGTGTAATTATCCCCTCGACCACGGGGAAGTTATACGATAACAGCCTGAAGAAAACCATATCATTCTAAATTAGGGTTTGTAACCCTTATTTATTTCGTTTAACACTGATGTAAATAATCATGGAGCTTAATATTGCATGTATATCTGTAAAGAATGACACAATATTTGAAACCTTTGACCAATCGGGAAGTACTTTTTCTTCCCCTGAGAAGGCTTGAAAATTAATGCGCCTGTCATTTGACTATCTTTACGCAGTGATCTCCCCTTATTTTTTCGGCGTTAGAGTACTTATAAAGGTAAGTAACCGCTCCGAGGAGTTCGGACTACTTTCTGATGTTGCAAATAAGCATACATGTATTAGAGTCTGAAATTTCGCTACAATTATTTATTTGGTCTGACGACCCAAACAAATAAAAATGTAGTTGCCATGGCTTAATTTTTTTATGTTTAAAGAATAACTTTTAATTCAGGTAATATAGGTCATTTTTGGTTTGGTTTCACGGCTCGCCAAAACTGACATGATCTTGTGGCGACTTTCCAGTTTTACAAGTTCCCCTTTAGGTATATATAAAGGTACGAACGGGCACCTGAGTAGAACGACCGACGTTCTTTACGGTAGTTAGAAAACTTTCTAACATAAAAAATCGAAACATCGAAGTCATAGGTGGTCTCGTACCTAATTCATGTAGTATATAAAACAGAACGCAGCCTCCATAGCATTTAATTGACAAAATGGGTATTATTAAAATATCAAAAGTGTACTTGGAGTGCACTATCCTCGTAAGATGTTGTTTAATCATTTTATTTTTAACACAAACACGCAAGCACACATATCCATGAAATCATGTTTTTAAAGCATCTTTTAATGAAAGTCCAAAATTTCTTACATGCATATGTAACAAGGTTACCATGTGTAAACTACGTTACGTTATATAATAGGCCTTGTATCCATATGGGTTCTTCAAATTATCCGGCTTTTAATTTTGATTGCACGTAAAACTGCGGAATATCATTGTCCATATGTAGATAATTTGATAATTAAATACATGCAGTTAGTTTGGGACCCTGGCAGATGATTCATACCAAATATCATGTTGCAGAAAAATACTTTAAACTTTCCGTGATTTAAAACATCCACTTTCATCAAAACCAGCGTTTTTCTCCAAATTCGATTATTTAAACAACATTTAACTGCTGTTTTGTTTTTTATATTCATACTAGGTTTAAACAGTCATTTATATATTCGAACAAATAAATTAAATTGAAGAATAATCGCACATAACAGATGTCCATGAATTTCACAATTTGTTTTATAATCCGAAAAAAATACACAATTATTTCAAATGAAAAACAAAACAAACACAATTTTGAATGTATTCCGTATCCCTCCCTAAAATATTAACATTTTTAGCCAAATATTAATTGTTTAACATTTAAAATCGAATTTTGGGCTACGTACTCTAAAAATTGTCTTTTATTTTTTTAGTAATCCTGTTTACATCAAACTGTAAGCATAATGATACATTGCAAAACAGGTCTCAGGGTTCTCGTTTAAATTAATAAAATGTATAACTATGAAAACAAATCACTCACAATATAATTCAAATTAAATTTTCATATACTTTATTTTAGAATTATTTCAAAGACAGAAATTGTGTGTGTACCGTATCTTTTTAAATAACAGTGTGTTCCGTACCATTTCAACATAACTTTATGAAAATATGCTAAAACATCACTGCATTCACTCGATACATTGGACATAGTAAATATATCAGATTTAACATGTATTTTTCTATGAAATAGTGACAAAAAACATATGACTTGCTAGAAATCGCTTGTTATGACAAATGAGTGTGTACCGTTCCCCTCGGCCCCGGCTATGAGAAGAAAACTGTACTTGAATGTTTTCAAAAACCGTTCAGGGGTTTTCAGAATTTTTATATACCGTGGAAAGCTGATATAAATACGGGTACTCTGCGCCTTATCTGATCAAAATCGGTTGAGTAATAAATATGTTATGAATAAAAAACATACCTGAATCGGGTGAAATAACGGCGTGTTCTGTACCCGAAAAGTCACGTGGTATGGCCACATTGATAATGTTTTGCTAATATCGCTCTGTTTGCCAGTCCGTCGGTCTGTCCGTCGGTAGACCACATGGTTTCCGCTGATTATCTTAAAAACTATTCATAACAAAGTCTTCATATTTCACATAGTGATTGATCATAACTAGTAGATGACTCCTATTGATTTCGGGACAACTAGGCCAAAGGTCAAGGTCACAGAGACCTTAAATGTCAAAATGGTTTCCGCTCATTATCTTGAAAAGTATTCATCACAAAGTTGTAATACTTCACACAGTGATTAATCGTAACTAGTAGATAACACCTACTGATTTTAGGGTCACTAGGTTAAAGGTCAAGGTCACAGGGGCCTTAAATGCCAGAATTGTTTCCACTGATTATCTTGAAAAGTATTCATCACAAAGTCTTCATATTTTACATAGTGATTGGTCATAACTAGTAGATGACCCCTGTTGATTTTAGGTCACAAGGCCAAAGGTCAAGGTCACAGGGGCCTTAAATGTCAAAATAGTTTCTGCTGATTATCTTGAAAAGAATTGATCACAAAGTCGTCATATTTCTAATATTGATTGGTCATAACTAGTAAGTGACACCTATTAATTTTTTGGTCACTAGGTCAAAGGTCAAGATCACAGAGGCCTTAAATGTCTCATTATCTTGAAAACCATTTATCGTAATATCTTCATTATTTTTCTTTCTTCCATAATTGAATACTTCAATGTACCCATTTATGGCAAGTTTCTCTGACACAATTACCAATAATGTGAGTCAAGGGCGAGAAAGGGGGCATATGTGTCGTTCGACATTTCTTGTTTAAGTTGAATTTTACTTGACATATTGGAAAAATATTTCTCTCTATTGTGTTCGAGGTCCTTATCAGAATACAAAATGCTTTATGCAATTTTAAACCCAACTTATACCTAATGTAGTAAAATAAACTCGTCCGATATTCAATGGTTACATGTATAAACAACGTTATTGATTTTATTGTTCATGTCGATTATATTTATAGACCTTTCGTCAACAGTTTCGGAAAATATCTTTCTTTCGTAATTGAAGTTCTGTTTAACAAAATGGCTAGTAATGATTTATCACTCATGGTAAGAAATTATTTCTTTTATACAACTTTTTTAACATATATTTTAATTCTAATGGACAAATATATTTGTAGTCAACGCATTTATTTGATATACAATCATGCAATGTTTATCACCATTGGCAACGCCATTATATAAAAATAGTTGCGCCCAACTCCCATTTAACGATAAAGTATTTATTATTGTTGCTTAATAATAGCTAAAAGTTTCGTTTTAACTGGAAAACTCAAAAAATACAATGGAACTATTATTTTTTTATATTATAATCGATTTCCTTAACCACTGTTAGTCAGGGTTAACCGGAAATAGTCCCTCAAAACATCGAAAGTAAAAAGGTTTACGTCGAGTTCACCCAATGTATTATTTAACTTTATTTCTCCATCATAACGTAACCAATATTTCCAAACTAAACATTTTTTGTGAAGCTAAATACATGTATGTCTGCTTTTTCTGCAAATTAAATACTTTTTGTTAGATTGGCGATAAATTGTAGCGTATTTGTTGACATTTGCGGAGGAGGTTGATATTTACCACTAGATGAAGCCTATATGTATCAAAATCCGCCTTTACTACAACATTTTGTCTGATCATTGCCTTGCTGATTTTTCGCTTGATTCTTTGACAAAAGTTTTTTCACTGATGTACACATTGTAAATAATGCGTCACATGCAAGCGATAATTTTACGCTAAAAAGACACAGTCTTGGTAAACATGTAAATAAGTCTTTCTCGATTCATGTATCGGTGGATTTTCAAATATCATTTCTGAGGTTGCATCTCCCGTTTTTAAGAAAGAGGTAAAACTCGGAACTGAATCTTTTTTTATTTGAGCATTATTTTTTTTGTAAATAGTATACTGAAGACTGTTATGAAAAAAAGATTAAATCTCAATATAAGGCATGTGTAAAAGAGAGACTGAGGCCAACAAAATAATGTTAAGTTATGCTGAAACATGTTGAAAAAAATGTTCTGGCATAAGACAATCGAATAAAACAGTTGATGTTCTTAAGAAATATTTTTTATTAGTTGATAACCCCGATGATCATTTTTCCAACCTGATGAAGATGTTTTGTTTTTATTGAAAGATATGATAAGAATGAATATAAGATAATGTTTCAAAAATTGAAAGGACAGATACAAGAGGTTTGTCTTAATCAACTTCAGTCGAATAAAAGTAGTGGGTCAGATTCATAAATCAATCAATACTTTATACATGTACATAGCAACGTATCATATAACCTTTCATTTTGTCCCTCTTTCATAAAATATTTACTACGTGATATTTTCCTGAATGTTAATCAGAGGAATACGTTGTTCAATTAAAACGTTATTCCGTTACACAAAAGGGCAATAAAGCAATGAAAGCAGTTATAGAGGATTAACACATTTAAGCACTTTAAGAAAATTAAATAATTAAATAAAAGAGTAGCAGAATGCGCCGAAAGATACGTTATGTTTAGGCGCAATAGGGGTTTAGGTAAAAACATTGTTACTACAGATAATATTTTTTGCCACATGGTCTTATTAGTAATATGTTAAATAAAAGAAATCAACTTTTTGTGCATTTATCGAAGCCTTTGATTATGTTGTCAGAGATAAATTATGGCTAAAAATGTTCAAGCTAGGTATTCGTTGAACATTTAAAGGGATACTCAGGCAAATTAATGTCAAAATGACAAAAATATTAAAATGATGTTATAAACTCAAATCACGCTAAAATGACATTTTCTAAATCCCAGCATGATTTTCTGTATTAAATTCTAAACATTTTGGGTTTGAAGTGTCCAAATGTCACCGTGACAACAATTGTAAAATCGTAACGGTCTAACCTGACCCATGTGGGTCAGATTAGAAAAACTATCATTAAGTATTTTAAAATGAGAAAAGATTTGTTTCTGTGACTGCCTAGCGTATTCATTTTAGGACATTAACAAAATAATAAATGAAAAATTCAAAACGAAGAAATTCAAAATTTTGCCTGTGTCTCTCTTTCAAACATTATTATATCTATGTATTCAGCAGTGAAATCTAGAGTTAGAAATTACAACCCAATAAATGAGCAATTTCAATGTATGTTACATGTAGGTGTACTATCAGGCGAGTATTTGTCTCACTTACTTTTTGCAATGTTTCTTTATGATTTTGAAGATATTTTTATAGATAAAGGTTTCAAACGCATTCATGTTAACATGTTTAATTTTTTAAAATTTTATATGCAGATGATATTGTCATATTTGCATAAATAGGTGCATTGAATTTCCAAAAAAGTTTGAGATGCACAATACGAGTATTGTTGCGAAAGGAAACTGGTTTTTAATTCAGAAAAAAACTAAAGTGGTGATTTTTCACAATGGTGGCCGTTTACAGAGTAATATCTCATTTATCTGAAATAGTAAATAAGTAATCATGTTGAAATTGTATATTTAGGTATTGTTTTTATAGCCGGAGGTTTATTTTTCTGACGCTCAAGACAGTGTTTAGAATGAATAAGTAGTTATTTTATCTTACAGATATATTTGTAAAACATAGTTTAGAACTTTTTTACAAATTTGTTTCCCCTATTCGTCGCCCTATTCTAAAAATGGTGTATCTACAATTTCCTCTTTTTTGGGAAAAATGGGTTAAAGGTTCAAGACGTTGTTACTTTTATTTAATAACTCCTAACAGTGTGGACTTCTGGATTGGTATTATAGATGTCAACATGTGATGAAAGCACTTTGTTATATACCTTTATAATTTGCAGTAATTGTAAAAATTAAAAAAAAAATTTGGAGATAGACCAAAAATGTTTATTTTTAGATTAAAAAATTACTCTAAAAATGAGTTTGCGGAGATATGACAAAGTAAGGCTAAAATTGTAAATACTTTTTGAGTTAGCATTTTTTAAGAGTAATAATTTTACTATAGAATATTAGTAAGATTTTACATTCTAAAGAACATTTTCAGCCAGAGTGGTTGAACCGCTGACACTGAATCACTTTATCTTCGTAAATTACTATGTCAAAGTGTAAAGTCATTCACGTGATCTCCAACGTGGGCCTTTCTCGATAATAACAATATAAAATTGTGCCATAAAAAAAGAAAAACAAACATTTTAACAAAATTTTTAATCAATGAACTTGCTAAAACAAACTGACATATTTTGAACCATTATGAAAAAATGAAATGATTGTAACCATCTCTAATATTGTGATTAAATAATACAGATATAAATTATATTACCATTTCATTTCATTTCATTTTATTGGCAAATCGGCAAATAAACATTACCTTTGGCCATTAACAGAGTATCATGAAAAATATGGCCAAAAGTTAAATAGTTACAAACATTACATCATACAATATATAACAAAAAGAGAACAAGAATGAAACTAATTGAGAAGCAGTTACATCTTCAAGAGACTGTTGCCTCAACTTAAATGCATTATGAACATAGTGAGCACATTTAAGAATAAGCTTTTTGTTATTAGTGGACAATATAGTCGAAAATTTTTGTTAGTAATATATAGTTAACTATATATATTTAGTTATGTATGACATGTTTCCTAAATATTTGGTTCTTATAACAGTATAAATTGGACAACATAAAAGGAAGTGGTATTCTGATTCAATAGAGTTATATATACATAGTTTACATTTGCCATCGTTTCTATCAATGTTAAAATGTTACCAATAATTCTTTTTAATTCACACAATTAAAGTCAATACCACATGCATTCAAAGTCTCAAGTATTGTTTGTGGTTTAATATCAACGTATGAAAAAATATCTGCTCAAGTTCTTAACAATCTTTCAAGATTGCAAAATCGTCGTTTTCAAGATTTTACATCCAGTGAATTTTGCGATCTCCCATATTGGTTTTTGTCGCAAAACGTAGATACTGGACATTCCATGAACAGGCTAAATCAAACCGAGCCGGCAACATTTTAGATCATGCCGTATTACGCTTTAAGAATTCTGCTATTATCTAAAAAATATAATCATTGATGACCCGGAGAACACTGAAACTCGCATGCAAACTTAAAATCTATGTTTTGACAAGACAGTGGTATTCCGATCCCATTGGAATGTTAAATATCTATTTATTTTGTGAATATTTTAAGACTTAAAACAATGATTTATCTGAAACTGATGGCAAGTCAAAACGTCCCACAGACTTGATGTTGTTGATATAAAATTCCATAATTTTGTGGAAGTTCTGCTAACTGCAGTCACAAGTTCTAAGAGACAAAACATTTATGTAAGGACAACGTCTGATAATGTAAGTAAGTCTGACCTGAAATGGACAAAATATTATCATTAACAATTAAACAACAACAATGTTCGATACTCCAAATAGTTCCAAAGTTCATACGAAAAATCCGAATATAGTTATCCGAAACTATGTGATTGTGAAACTTTGAGAAATATATATAAAATAATGATAATACTATGAAACAAATACTAATACAAAATATAAATTCACTTATAAAACGTATAAAAGCTAAAATATATTACTTACATGCTTCAGAAATCATTTTTAACTGTTACTTTCCTAGTTAGCTGGCTGATTTAGATACGATTGTTGTTGTTATCACTGGAGTTAGAACAATTATATTGTCAGGCCCCTTCAGGTCACATGACATATATTTTTCAACTTGATTGGCTGGCACGAAAGATTAGCCTAAAAGTGTGACAAGTGTTGGAGATACGACGAAAAAAGGCTAACAGCAAAGCTTTCCATTGGACATAGAACAAAATACAGACGCTATATCTTCCAAAGTATGACGTAAATCTTCACAAGTTTTGTTTTGGAGATAGAACAAACTAATACTAAATTAAATGTGCAGTTATCTCATTTTTGGTAAAAATGGAGTTAGGACATTTTTAGAATAAGGCGACGTATTCTTAGTTATAGTTCCGAGGTTTGGGGGCTTATTCCTGGGGAGCACATGCAGGTCTGTAAAAATATGTTAGGGGTTAAAAACTATACATAACGATTTTATTTATTATTATAGAGCATTTA